TCCATCTATCCATCTATCCATCTATCCATCTATCCATCATTCATCCATTCACCTGAATGATGGATGAATAGATGGATAGAGGGTTAATCTATCCACTCCGGATGATTAATGAATATGATCGAGCAAGTTTTAGATCTCGAGCAACTTCACTATTTTAACTCCTTCTTTTCTTCCTTTTTTTTTTTCTATTCTAAAAGAGAAATGGAGAAGAAATGAGAGGAGAGGGAAAGGAAAGAGATAAGTTGTTATCATTCCTGATGAATTCATAGTTCAGCAGTTATGCTTCTTTCATCGCAGCTGTTTTGATCATATTAACTTTGGTATTCGTAAAGTGTTGAACATGTACACTTCAAGCAAATTACACGAACCATCCATTTCTTTTCTTTTCGTTTTTTTTCCCAAACTCTTCACTGATTTTATCAGTTAATTTATTCTACCAATTTCATGTTAATGTATGCTATTGATATCTATAATATCATTGATAAATATTTTTGTGAGATCGTCAGATGACTTATTTCGTACTGTAATCATCAAACGGATTATTTCTTAGTCGTGATCATTCAAATTGATTATGTCACGAATCATCGATAATAATAATGAGATATTGATCAGATTATTGTTTAGATTGGGAAGAATTTAGCCTGAATATTTTAATTTGACTACAAAATATTCCTTAGTTGTTTATCGTTTATTTTATTAATTGAATAATCAGGAATTTCTACCTGAATTATTAGGGATGGAATTGTTGATCAAACCAGTCTATGTTAAACTTTGAGCAGTTTATTGATAAAATTCTTAAATTTTACTTTTTTTATTATTCATACAATTTTTTTATTATTCGAATAATAAGTTCCATAATTATTAATCAAATAATTCAGCTTGAAATAATTCCTCACTAGGTTTTAATAATAGTAGTTAAACAGTATCCACATAGATCAGATCCTATGATCCTAATTTATTTCTTGTAGGATTATCTCCTATTTTTGCCAAAAGATATTTGATCATGCAATGTCTGATATCATCATTCATGGAATATACTTACATATTTGATCAAAGTTCATCTTGATTATCCTGCTTGATCTGTTATCTACATAAATGACCACTTTGGTCAAAGTTCATGATAATTATCCTACTTGATGGCCTATCTTTTTATCCCATTTTTCCGTTTCTTTTTTTGCTTAGCTATTTTTCTTTTTTTTCTTTTTTTGCTTAGTTGCTTAGCTATTTTTTTTTGCTTTTGACCACTAACGTTATTCATATATAATCTAATTTAAGCTGTTCAACAAATCACTAAATTACTATCCGATGCTGTCCATTCAACAATTATGGCTCTAAGACTAATATTCTTCAAATTTATTGATTTACCATTTTGCCATTTTATGTGAAAGAAAGCAAAAAAAGAAAAAAAAATATCACTTAAAGATAATTGTAGCCATTATTTATTTTGCTAAATTTATTGCATAAATTGGTAGAGATTTTTCACAAAACTAAATGCTCAACTATTTCAATTTTTATTAGAGCAAATTTTGATAACAATTTTTATGAATTATTTTGATGGGAAAAATGACATAAAGGATGTCTCAAAATTTCTTCTATTTTTCCTTTTCATAATTACCCACCCATCCTGCTAAATGATTAGCATCCTCGAGGGCAATTTGGAATAAGTCTTAGTTGTAAGCGTTTGGAATAAGCCTTAGTTATAGTTATAAGCATTTTAAAATCATTCTCTATATGCCTCATAATATTGCAGTTTTTTTTTTTGTTTTATCTTAAGATAGTTAGTTATTTTTACCTATAAGTGCATTATAGTTTGCCTGTTAATTCACTATCAATTCTTTTAAATTATTACATTAATCTTTGAGCGCTTTTTGCTCACTTTTTTTTTTATTCATAAATTTAAATTTGTTCGATTTTTTTCTGCCTTTTTTGCTGATTTAGTTGATGTTATAAATAAAAGTGACTTTTTTTTCTTTCTTTTTTTCCTCATAAGTTACAAATTTTTGATTGATTCATTTAATGTACTAAAATTTTAATTTTACATTTACAAAGAAGAGTTCTGATCAATTTTACATATTGAATGATTCAATTTTTTCATTCCCGATGTTTTAAATTTATTTTTTTCTTTTCAACGAATAACTTTTTAATAGAATTTAGATTGAAATGAAGTGGTTGTTAATATATTAATGGTTACAGTTTTGGATAATATTACCTTACAGGAGAATATATACCATTTTCCTTTTTTCTTTTTTACAATTGAAATTTTTTCCTTCTTTTTGAATAAAAAATTAAATTAATAAATTATTTATTATAAATAACATTTCCATGACGATTACACTATGGAATATTGATAGGATTAATGGAGAAATTTTTATCTGAAATACCAGATATCAACATTTCTTCTCGCTCTCTTTCTCTCTATCCCTCTTTCCCTTACACTGCGTTGTTACAATTTCACAATTTCAATTAAAGTTTAACTGAAAGTGATATAATTTCAGATTAATGAATTCCGCTCATCGTACCAATAAAATTCGTATTTTTCGTAAGAAATTTATGAGAAGTTGGAAGAAAGCTCGTTGTACAATACGTGGATTGTACTTTCACAGAATACGTGTTAGTTTATTTTTTGTAATATGCTCTCTCTCTCTCTCTCTCTCTCTCTCTCTCTTTACTCCTTTCCCTTTTCCTCAGATAAAAAATGATTTTTTTTTTTATAATAAAGTCATACATTTTATCGCAAGTGGGATATTCATATTAAACGACAAAAGATTTAATTGAAATATTAAATTATAAGACAGTTGATTTATTGATATGTGTTAGCTCATTTAAAAATTGAAATACAATGGAAAATATAAAATTAGAAGGAAGTACTATCATTTGTCATACTAATTTTTTATAAAGGTAATATTATGATAATTTTAGAAATATGAAGTTTCAATGAAACAATGTTTATGCTCTCCATTATTGTGTATGGTACCTGAAGCCAAAAAAATTTGTCGTTTTAAAATAAAATCATCGCCTAATTCAGGTTTATTTCTAAAATTTCAATTAATTACTTCACTTATATAAAATATATTTAAATAAATCTTTAAAATTATCGATATGATTGACAGTGCAGCAATGCTATTAGAAAAGGTCGAAGTAGGTGATAGAAGAGTGGTAGAAATTTTGTGATCGCTGCTTAAAATATTATTTAAAAAAGTAATAAAATGAAAATGAGAAAATTTTTGTATAAAATGAAATAATTATCGTAGAAAAATTAAAAATTATGATAGAATCAATTAATTTAACAGTAATTGGCATCATAATTTCTTTTTTTCCTAAAACAACAATATGTACGACACGGTATTTTCACGGATAAAATATATGTTAGGAAAAAACAGTAATGACATAAAGTACTAAATATATTACAAATACATATATTATCAAAGAATTAATAAATTAACATATAATTATGATTTAAAAGAGTAAATATATTTTAGTTAAACCAGTCAGGCAACTATTATCAAAATTAGGTGGAAAGACAACAAATGAATTAGAACGAATGAAGCGAAAAGTAAGTTTAATTGGTAATTAAAATCATTCGAAAATCAGTATAATATCATTTAATAACAATCGTGCTAAATTTTTTCCAAATGTATTAAATCTTTAATTTTTTTAGTGATTTTTTAAAGTGATTTTTTTATTCCTTTACGTAGAAAATATCATTTTCTTTTTATATAAAAATCATCAATTTTGCGTATAGTTTTTTTTTTTCGTTGATTATAATTTCTTCATTAGAATAAATGAAATTAGGACTAAAAAAAATCTATTGTATCAATTTATTAATGGAATTCTTGAAGTTAATATCTAATAGCCAAAAATAGGCTAAATGAAACTTTAAAATAGTTCAACAATTTAAGCTAACTGAGATTTTAAAATAGTTCAACATTTTAGTTAAAAGGCTTTAAGATAGTTTAACATTTTAGGAAAACTACTATATTAATTCAAACAAGAAACTAACTGAGATTTAAAAAATTTTCAAATCTGAAAATGAATAATAGCAGTGGATATTTTTCAGCGTAAAAAATTAAATCCAATTTCATTCATAAATTAACAAATTTTTATCAATTACATTGTCCATTTTGTTGCAATTATTTTAAGGGTGATAATTGGTCAACCAATGATTTATTCAAATTTCAACATGGAAATTATGATCATTATGATATAGATGAGAAGCGAGCAATTTGTTTGGAATGGCTTCGACGGCTTAGCAATATTACCAAAAAATATTGTTGCCTTGTATGGTTCGTATTATCATTACTTCATATTTAAATATCAAAATTATTACAATTTGAATTCATCAATACCTATTTTAGGTATGCATCTGCAATTTACACTTGCTATTATCGATTAGCTCCATTAATTATTGATAAGGAAGAGAAGAAGCGTATATGGATTGATGTTAAGCGAGAATATGCTGAAATATTTTTGATGGGTCGTCGTATTTGGCGACGACCAACTCATCCAACGAGACTTCGTATTCTTTATGATTTAGCAATGTTATGCGTCATTTTCAATGATATACCTGTAAGTTGTATTTGAAAAATTTTAAAAGAAAAAGAAAACGAAAAATCGATATTAAATTCCGGTATCATAAAAAATTTTATTAGTTCAAAAATATTTCATTATTAAACAAAATTTCAAAATTTAATTGTTAAAACGAATGAATTGCTAAATCAGTACGAATATATTGCATGTAAATCAATTTAATATTTTATCCCTGTTATAATTATTAAGGAAAGCTATAAATCATAAGGGAAGACAAATTAAATTAGAATTTGAAATGATGAATTATCCTGAAAATGACAAAAACCAATTAGAATTTTTTAATATTACTAAGAAATTTGTTGTAAATAATTTTTTTCTCATTATTTTAATAGTTTGATCAGATAATATATTTCATTAAAGGAATTCTTATAGAATGATGAAACAGTAATACTATTCCGTGATTTACTAGATGATAATGATAATTTCAATTTTGAAGTATTAGATGATATTGAATATGCGCAATCTATTGATAAGGTACGCTTTATCATCATATATATTATTCAATAGAAATATATTTAATAAAAATCTGTGATTTTTTTCTTTACTGAATTCCATTAATTCATAAATTAAAATAAATTTTGTCGTGAAGAATTTAACGATTAATCTGTAAAATATTTATCATATCGGAAAATATGAAATATTAAAATACATTACTTCCATTTCTGTTATTTTTTAAATAAAATGCAAAATTTGAAAGATAAAAGTTAGAATAAATGTAAAACGGAAAAAGTCCATCCAAAGAGAAAAAAAAATTAGCAAGGTAAATGAATGAAATGAGGGTATTGAAAAGATTTTAATTAGAGCTCTTCTTCATCCATATTTCGATTCATAGGATAGAAGTATATTTTGAAGTTTTTTAGATTAATGATTTAAACATATTTGATGAGTAAGTTCAAAAACCGATTAAATAATTTATGATTCATTTATTTCATCAGCTAAAAAAATGGTGATTGATTTACTTTTTTTTGATAATTTATGATTCACTTATATCATCAGCTAAAAAAAAAAAAAAACNTAAAAAAAAAAAAAAAACCAATCATTAATTAACTTCTTTTTTTAGGCAGTACGATTGGAAAATCATGTAATCGATTTATTTTATCAGAGACGTAAATCTACCTGTTCCACTCGTTCCAGTTTTCTCTCAAAAAGCAGTATTGATACACCACGAAGCAGTTTTAGACGTGCAAAATTGAGCGTAAGAATACATGTTATCAGTTAACAAATATATCTATCAGTGATACTTATTAGTAAAATTTTTATAAATTCATATCCTCTCTATAGGAATCCATTAGCTAAATAATTAAAATTTCAAAAAAAGAAAAAATGCTTTCGCAAAATTAAAATTTAAAAAATCAGATTTTTTACATTTCTTTTTCTTTCTTCATCTTCACTATAAAAAATTCATCTGTAATAGTATTTTCATAAAATTTTAGCTCTGTTCATTCAGGATAACTCAGTATCAGATTCATGCATGACTACAGGAATATTACCTTCAAGAAATCTATTACAAATTACCGATAAGCAAAGTGTTCGTTTTGCTAAAAATTTCGATGTAAATTCGAAAGTGGAAATTAAGACAGACAAATATTTAAATTCAACAAATATGACGAAAATAAACGATGGAAATGCTAATAGTATGGAAAATAATGCAACGAAAAACAATGTGACAAATGCGCACAATCAAATGAACATCGAACAGACAACCAATGCAAATGCAATGCTCAATGAAGTTGACATGGAAATTGCCGTGAAGAAGAAATCAAATCATGCAGGAACAAGCCGAAAATTTCCAATGATGTTATCAGATGAAATTATATCATTCATTGCTGTTTGCTAAAATTGATAATAGTTTTACGAATTATTGTTTCAACATAACTAACACGTGATATTCAAAAGTTACTGACAACGTTATCAGTTATTAGCTTTTAACAATTTTTCCATAATATATCTATGCTACCAGAACTAATTTTAAAATTATCACAGTGCCTCATAATTTTTACCGTGTTATATGTAAACTTTAATGAGACAAAAAAAAAAAGATGATAGACATGTTTTGAAATTTTTCAATGAAAAAAATTCTCAAAGTGGGTATGAATTCTGCATAAAAAAAATAAAGATTAATAATTGCTAACGATTGGATAAAATAAATGGTAAATTTTACCTAAACGATCAATTAACAAATATGAATTGGTAATCAGTAAGAATAATTAAGTTCAATTAGTAAAAATAATTAAATCATTTGATTAACAAATTTGACCTGAAAATATTTTCATTATTTATTTATTTTTTTGTTTGCATTAGTAATAATCGTCCTTAACTGCCATATTCCTTATATATATATTTCACAACATTTCACTGAATTAAATTGAATTCATACGTAATAATTGGATAATTCGGACTAATGACATCAGTTGAAAAAACAAGGAAAAAAAATGGCTGATGAAATAATTTCAAAAACTTTTGACAAATTTTTCTAACATTTTTTTTGTTTTCAAATTACTTCATGACAATTTATTTGCTGCTTTCTGTAATTAATATATTTGATTATTAATGTGCTTTCTATCCAATCTTTCTATCATAACTTTGCTCATTTATGTATTATCATTTATAATGTTAAGGATCACTTTTACCTATAATTGGCATATATTGTCTATTTGATCAAAATAAAAATATAATACGATATCTTTTCTCAAATTAATCATTAATAGTATGATAATGTAACAAATGATATTAAATAGAGATTCTTTGGCTTCATTATTTCAGATCTATCAATGATTATGGCATTTCTTATTAAATTTATCTCATATTTTGATAATTGCATCTTTTTTTCTGGGACTTGAAAAGTATAGCTTATCAAATCTAATTTTTATCATTAATAAAGTTTGTCGGGTTTTTCGATCATTTACAACTTTTCTTATCGTTTCTGACTATAAATTTATAAATAACACGATTAAATCATTCTGATTTAATTTTCCACTAATTATCAAATTGTTTGAAACTATTCAAAAGTAACAGCATTTTTTGCAACTTAATTTTCGCTCTTCATATCAAATATTTTAGCAAAATATCTTTTATTATATTTATCACTCTAAAACTTAACTTTTTTTTTCTTATAATTCATTTTTAATATCTTCTTTGACAAATTTCAAATGCACAACTTCCTAACTTTTCAACTGTAACAGTTTCCATTTAAATAATTTAATGTATCCCATTGTTAGATGGTAACAAATTTTTATTACATGAAGTGTGAATGTTTCAATTCCAACAAACATAAGCAATGTTTATCATCTGAAATATGAATGTTTCAAATTTTCACAAAATTATTTCAAATACTATGTATTCTATCACTGATAGGAAGGACGAAATTTCTCATTATCAATTTTTCTTGCTATCAATTTATCAACTTTAGGAACTTATTCCAAGAAGCACCATCAAGGATGTTTAAACATGAAGCAGTTGTTCAGAAGACATTGAAATATTAGCTTTTATTGCTAATCTTTTTCATTTTCCGCTTCTTCAACCTCTTCGTTAAGTGTTATTTTGAGCAATGTGTAGTTATACTATATTGCCAGCTCATTTCACAGATGCTAATTATTATCGACGTTGTGGAATTCATGTACAGGTTTCTTATTCTTCATAATTAATTTAAAAATTAATAT